CAAGGAGAGGGCGGACTTGGCAGCACCTTGAAAGTGGGAGGTTAAGGAGGGTGACTAACACATCCTTAACGTGCAGCAGCTCTCACGCTAGGGTACTTTGAGTATCCTCTTTCAGGAACTTGCTTGTGCTATTAATTTTTCCAAACCCACAATTAATTTTAATGAAACCCTTATCTATTTTTAGACCAACTTCAAAGAGGGAATGAGGAGGTCTTCTCTCCACATCAATGAATTAGGCAGGACAAGTCTTAGGATTCCAGAGGAAACTCGCCATGGAGAGATGGAGGAAACAAAAGGCTGTACTCCATGGCATGCATAAGTAGGATATAAACTGAAATGCTCTATTTTGAAAGTAAGCTACTTTTTGTCTTAACGATATCCTAGAACACAAAACCAAAATAATTAGGTCATAGCAATTACTTACAGACCCTGACTTACTGGGAGGCTGCCATGAGTATATACAGCACTGCACTGAAGACCTACTAACACACAAAGTGCCCTAACATACACTACAGATGTGCCCACCAGTTTTACATTAATGTTTTTAAAAATCAAAGAAAATGACATTTTCTTCAGTATGTGCCTGGGGAACCATGCTGCAGACCAATGACTGCTTGCTGGGTGCCCTGCAGCTCTCTGCCCCAACCATCTCATTTCTGATCCCACATGCTGCTGTCACTGCAGTACCTCTGCCTTCGCAGCCCTGATCCAGGACCAGACAAACAGAATAGCAAAAACAGTTTGGTTGGAAAAGACCTCTTGGATCATCAAGTCCAACCTATAACCACACACTACCATGTCAACTAGACCATGGCACTGAGTGCCAGGTCCAGTATTTCCTTAAATACTCCAGGGATGGCGACCCCACCATCTCCCCGGCAGCCCATTCCAATGTCTAATCCCTCTTTCTGTGAGTAAATTCTTCCTAATATCCAACCTAAAACTACCCTGGCCCATCCTAAGATTATGTTTTCTTGTCCTGTCACTGGTTCTCTGAGAAAAGAAGCTGACCTGGCTACAACCTCCTTTTCTTCAAACTAAGCAACCCAGCTCCCTCACCCGTTCCTCACATGGCTCATTCTCCAGACCCTGTCTCAGCTCTGTTCCCTTCTCTGGACTCACTCCAGCACCTCAATGTCCTTCTTGAACTGAGGGGCCCAGAACTGGGGACACTGAGGTACACTTAAGGTGTGGCTTCACCAGTGCCAAGTACACTTCCCTAGCTCCACTGGACAGCACTGCTGATACAAGCCGAAGGTTTTTACTTCCCTTTTTTAAGTCATTCTGCCAAAACCTACATTAGACCCTCATCACCTTGGCCATCTGACCCTTCAGATTCACCTCCATGCCCACCCTCCATCTCCTCCAGCTTGAACAGCTCAAGTGACCTCAACTGCTCCTTTTAAGTCTTCTCCTCAAGGCCCTTCATCATCTTCGTTGCCCTCCTTTGGATGCTCACTAAAAGCTTTATATCCTTCTCACACTGCGGTGCCCAGAACTGCACACAGGCCTCAGGAGGAGGAGCAGCGCGGGACAATCCCCTGGCTGGCCATGCTGCGCCTGATGCCCCCCAGGACAGGGCTGTCCCTCGCGGCGCCAGGGCACACTGCTGGCAGCTGTTTGCTCCGTGTGCCCGAGCCCGCAGCCGCCCTTTCCCCGGGCTGCCCGGCTCGCCCGGCTCCCTCCACAGCGCGCCGACCGCCGGGGCGCCGGCGCTGCGCGGAGCGGCTGAGCCGCGCCGGCCGCCGTGGGGCGCGGCGCGGCGCCTGCGCGGAGCGGGCTGAGCCGCGCCGGCCGCCGCGGGGCGCGGCGCCTGCGCGGAGCGGGCTGAGCCGCGCCGGCCGCCGTGGGGCGCGGCGCCTGCGCGGAGCGCGCTGAGCCGCGCCGGCCGCCGTGGGGCGCGGCGCCTGCGCAGAGCGCGCGGGCTGCGGCCATGGCGCTGAGCGCGGCGGGCCCGGCGCTGGCGCTGCTGCGGCGCCGCCTGCGGCCCCCCGGGCCCGGCGCCCGCGGGCACGCCCGGAGCGGCCGCTCCGCCGCGCAGCCCGCGGCCCTGGAGCCGGGGGAAGGTAGGCTCGGGGCGGGCCGCGGGGAGGGGAGCGCCCGCCTGCCCCGCTCGGCCCAACCGGGGCGCTGGGCTGACGGCCGCGGCCCGGGCGTGAGGAGCCCCGCGGGGCCCGGGCAGTGGGTCCGGCTGTGCCGTGTGCGGCTGCAGCCCGGCAGGCCAGAGTGCGCCGTCAGCGCCGGGACGCGCGGTGCTAAATACCGGCCAGAGGTGAACCCAGTGACGGGCCTCATCCCGAGAGACCCCCTCAAAAAGGCATAGGAAGCGTGTGACTCGCGCTGTGTCTTTAGAAAAGAACTAGTGAGGGGTATCTGTTGCTGCTGTGCATCCGTGCCATGCTCAAGACTGTGCAAAGGACAGCAGAGCCAGAAGATGTTGTGAGGTCACATAATCTCTAGTGGCTAAGCATGTACAGGCAGTAAATCAGGCAAAAATCACAGCCATTCTGGCCTAATGCAGACCTCCTGGTTGATGTCACCCATCAATGAGACTTGTCTTTTATGCATCTTGGTCACTTCATCCTTCTCTGTTTCCATGGAAACTGGTATTTATCATCTTCATAAAGTGCTTCCTTAGTCTTCTGATAAAAAATTCTAGTATAAAACTTGGCCACTGAAAGAGCTACTGTGGTTATTATTTACAACAGTAAATAATACTGTGAAAGCTCAGTAAAGTTATAAAATGAATTTTTTTTAAAAAATTAAATGCTATCAAGCAATACTGACAGCTATCAGGTAATGATACTTAGTTTTTTTGAGGCCACAATATCCCATGGGATCTTCAAAACCAAAAACAGAATAAAGAGCACTCTACTGAATATCCCTGTGGCAGATGGTAGCTGCTGGGAAAGGCTTCCCATCTTCCCAATCCAAATGCCAAAAGGGAAGAATTAACAGGCAACAGCTTCATAGGTGTTACTGATGTGATGTGGTCAGTGGATCAGTTTGAAAGCTATGCAGGGAGGTGATAATGATTTCAGGTTTGGGAGATGGCCCCCTTGCCTGTATGCAAAGAGGGAAACACGTTCCATGTTTCTGGATGTTCAGCATGTCTCAATTCCATGTGAATTCTGGAGGCTGTCAGCAGCAGTACAGATTGCCAGTAGTGTGATGAGATATGACTGGTCTGTGGGTTTATTGTACTGGAGTAGATGAAAGTGTATTATTAAGTGAAAATTTTGCGTAGGTGTTTACCGTAAAGGGAGCTGCTGAGTTGTAAAAATAGTAAGTGTTGAATTGTTCCAAAGTGCTGGTTTTGTGGTAGTTCAGAGAGACTGTCATTTCAGTGAGGCTTGCCAAAGGTCTTGTCCTGCCTCACAGCCTAGCTGGCATTTCCTGACTCTAATATGTGTGCTAAGTTTTTTGATGGTGAGGAACAAATTAAAGAACAAAAGATTATTTGTATTATGAAACTTCCTGTGCACCAAAGGAAGTCAGTTTTGTTTTCTTCCTACCTTTCCTACTCCTTGTTATTACAAATGTATGCATTTGTGAAATACACTTACATTTCTTTCTTTCTTTCTTTCTTTCTTTCTTTCTTTCTTTCTTTCTTTCTTTCTTTCTTTCTTTCTTCCTTTCTTTCCTTTCTTTCCTTTCTTTCCTTTCTTTCTTCATTGTCCTTCATTCATTCTTCATTCTTTTCGTTTTTGCTGTCATGATCTTGGAGAGCCAGGACAAACCTTTGCTGAGTTGTTCAATCCAGAGAAAGAGATTAAGTGTACTAAAACCAGCCATATATCTTTCTGTTTACATAGAACAACCTTGATGCTTGTTTTGTCTCACAGATGCTGAAGTCAGTACCAGAAAGAAGACATTTGCTGAAGTCCAGACGGAACGACTGGATCAAGCTGAACGGACTGTTTTAATTAAGTGCCCATCAAAACTTAATCAAAAAAAATTATTGCAGTACTTAGCCAGTCATGGGAATATTAAGAGTCATTTCTTTTTTGAAAATCGTGTAAGTAATTAATGATGTAAGCTAAAATTTAGACCTAGATGAAAAGTACCAGAAAGAAGATTTGGTTAAGGCCTCATACATAAGTTAAGCAAATGATATCGACTTAGTGTATTAAAACAGTTTTTATCTGTACTAATGTTCACAAGTTGCTGAGCCGTTGATTTTTATTCATAAGTCAGCTAAGCAACACCTCTAAGGAATAGCCAGCAACCTGTTTTGTACTAAATCTTTGAAATTTTCATATAGCACCATTCATTGTTCTGACAATAGAGATAGCTCTTTTTTATGTGTTTCTGGAATATTTCAGTTGTGAAGATGAATATAGTTCAGAACTTTTCTGTTTAGTGCTTGCTGTCAAGAATAGCAAATCTTAAATACTTTTAATCTGTTGTGAAAAATCATCGAAAATGGTTTGAGATATGGAACCTAGCATCTGGCTTCAGGGCTGTCATATTAATCTGTCTCAGGAGCCCCAGGAACATCTGAGTAGTATCAGTACAATGAGTTCAAGCATTGTATGCATTTATCTCACCCTGTATTTCCATTCTTAATGTTTTAGGGCATCAGTGCTTTAATAGAGTTTTCAGAAAAGAGCAGTATAGCCTCGTTGCAGGATGCTGTTGGGATCCCAAGTGCTTCAGAGTATCATGTTGTCCCATTTAAATCAAGACTTTTTACTTTCACACTGAAAAACCCAGTGAGTCAACACGTTGAAGACACACCACTTCACCTCTCTCCTCAGTGTCACATTCCAGTGAAAGACCTTATTGAAAAGCTTTGTCTCGCAGACAGCGTAAGTAGAGGTTTCTAGATCTCTCTTAATTAAAAATAAGGCATGTTCATTTCAAATTTGCACGTGGTTATGTGAAACTTATAAAGCTATTTATTTTTATTAAAAAAGATAAGATATTAGCATTTTATGTGAGCAGTTCTACATTGAAGTAAATAAATGAAATTATTCTATTTAATTATGAAAATAATTTCTCTGTATGAAAGAAACCTTTTTGAAGTTTTGAAAAATAACCTTCTAATTGCATTGATATTAAATAGATGAAAATATATGTTAATACAAGATGGTCATTGTATATTTACAGTGCTTATTTTCTGAACTAGATAAGCACTCAGATGTACATTCTGCTGAATGAGTATCAGCTTACAGAAGAAAATATCAAGCTGCGATTTCTGGCCTGTTCTTTGGTTCAGGATTTTGCCCGTGCATATTTCCCTGACAGCACGGTAAAGCCATTTGGCTCTTCAGTCAACACGTTTGGCAAACTGGGATCCGATGTGGACATGTTTTTGGACTTCCGTGATACAGGAAAGCATGCTACAAAAATGGTAAGGTTGTGCTGTGCATCTTCCGTTTGCTGGATTTCTTCAACAGAGCAGCTCATTTGCTGTTTCACACACAGGAATCAGTTTATTTTTATTTAGGTTTTAAGTGGGCTCATACTATAAAGTATGAACAAGTTTATTTGAATGTTTGGATCTGAAGACACTCAAAGATGTGAATGTGACCTGGAGGTGATGTTCTTTGCAATAGGAAGAAAATTACTTGGTGTTCACATAAACTTTGCACTATTAGGGTGAATTTTGCTATGAAGAAAACCCTCATCCTCCAAAATTGTTTCAGCAGAGTCAGACCCATTCTATTGTCATGTTTTCTTCTCTGTAGCTTCTGTGCTTCAGCCATGTTCTGTTAAAGCTTGGCTTTGTTTTTTAGGGTCCTCTATGTCCTAAAGCACAGTAAGTTTGTGCATGTGTGCACAGCTGCATTTTGGGAGGATTGTTATTTTCCTTACCTTAAAGAGATTACTTTATACTCCAGGAAAGATTATGTACTGGGGTGTATATATATTTATAGGCACATACTGAGTGTGGGCAGGTGTGAAAGCTCGGGGCGTGGGATAGTCATGGTGAATATTTACAGGTCACAGAGTTCACTTGAATAATCAAGTAAGTGATTCTCATGTTGTGAAAACTTTCCTTTTTACTTGTGTGGTGATAGATAGTTTGGGAAAAAATGTTTAAGCTGTTGGGAAAGAGTGTTTAAGTTTGGGAAAAAAGTTTAAGCCTATTGTTTTGCTTAGAAGACAATGGGCTTAAAGATTTGAAGACTGAAGATTCTCTCAGCTTTTCTGTACAATTTGTATATTGCCGTGTAAGTTACTTTTAAAGAAATAATCCTTCAAATGTATACAGTTTTCAGTATTACGGCAGTGATAAATCACAATGAAAGCAAAATATGTCAGCTGAAGAGAAGGATTGTCATGTGTGTGTGAAGTGCTAAAATCTTTATGTTTAAATCAGTGAAGTTGCCTCTTAAATTTTGAAGGAATAAGTTCAAGTATGAAATGTCTATTTTTAAAGCATGTTTGGTAACTAGCTGTTTTCTTTAATATGTATCCTTTGTGGAGATACAAGTTCTGTGAAATGTAAAGTATTTGATGATGGGTGAGTTTACTAGCAGCTGTGATTATTTGTGAATGGCTGAGAGACTTGTTACTCTGGGGAGAAAAAGGGGAGGTAGCTGTAGTTACAAGGTGATTTAGCAGCAGTGGAAAAGGTATGTTCTGATTTCTTCACTTCCTTAGCCTTTCAGGAGTTGCCAGCAGTGAGGAGGATCAGGCATTTCAGCACCTATTTACATGAAATAACTGTTTTTGAGCCTTGTGACAAACTGATTACTAATTGTAATTTAAGAAAAGGGGCAGAAGTGGGTACATTCTTTACCAAGAATGAATGCTAGACCACAGATAGGGCATCTTTAACCCCTGGGCAGTTTGGGAGATTAGTGAATGACTTAAAACAGGGCTCTGTGATATTTTAGAGTAACAGTTTTTGTTAAACTGTTGTGCTTCTTGCTTAGGTTACTGTATCAATTTACTGAAAAGTAACTTTATTTTTAATAATAGTAATAGTTTCATATTTGTTTCTATCTACATGACAGGAATTGGGAAGAGCTACAGGATTGGGGCAAATGTATCAGTACTTCATAGCCCCTAGCTAGCACCAAAGCTGTATATGAAGGTTCATTTAATTGCTAGGAATATCTACTTTATCATTAGAAAACAGTTTTCATTCAGTTTTTGAGAACTAGTGAGGTGCTGTCTGGAAATTCCCATTGTGTTTTTTGTCACAAATATAAATATCAACACAAGCCCACCTACAGGTCAGCTGAGTACCCATCTTTGTCTTTCCTGTTAACTGCCTCAGTGTTGATAGTTACAGGCTCTTTTCACGTAGAGCCAGCCCTACTGTAGCATGCAGCCACAGCCAGATGGGATTAGGGACTGCTGTCCTGGCATGTTCCACCACACGTGCTGCTGGCAGGAGAGCTGCTGGCAGGAGGGGAGCAGGAACAGTCACCTCGGTGATTGCTAGAGAGACTCAGAAATTCAGCCCCTGAACTGCCCTTATGGGAAGGGTTGCAGGGTCCATGACTTCTGAATTGTTTCACCTGTCTGTGAGGTCACTAATTTGTGGATAACAGAAATCATGTACTTGGTATCTCAGTTACTGTTACATCACTGTAATTTTATTTGTACAGTATGCATTCACCCATGACATGTTCCAAGGGGGAGGATAAGTCAGTGTCAAGTATAGGATTAGCAAATAAAATTAGCTGATGTCTTAAAAACACAAGACTATTACCACAACAGAGATTTCACAGATACTTTATTGAGGTAAAAACTACAAATATGGCAAATCAAAATACAAAGGCCTACAGAGAAATTAATTTCTGATGTTAGAATATATCATCACAATATTTTTGTCTTTTAGGAAAGACAAAAAAATTACATTAAGTAATTTTTTTAAGTCTTCTAGAATAGTATGTTAATTTTGAACAATTTAAGTAATTTGCATGCTAAATTTTTAAACTTTTTTAAATTAAAAAGGCATTTTTTCTTACCCTGCTACTTGATTTAATAATCATTGTTCTTTGATGATTTGATATGGAATTACTGACAGTTTGAAATTATTGATAGTTTGGTTGTGTTGCCCCTCTGTAACTGTATGCTCCTCTGCAGTCAGAGCACTTATGCTCTCCTGGTAATTCCAGAACTACGCTTTTTGCCAGTAATGAGATGTAGTACTATTATACTTCTGTTTGAACATTTAGATTTATAGTAAGTTGATCATTATTAGCCTGGAAAAGTTGAATCACCAGAAAAGAATGTAAAAGGGAGAGCAATATGTTTTCACCTATTTAATGATGGGTGGACTGCTTTGAATAATTCTTGTCTTTCAGTTCTAGTTGTACAAACTCCTTTGCAAATTGTGGTGGTCTTTCAGAAGTATTTTTAAATGTCTCTTTTGTTTGAGAGCTAACAGCTTGCTTTTAAAATTCTGTATTAGAAAAAAGGTCCGTTTGAAATGGAGTATCAGATGAAAAGATTACCATCGGAAAGATTAGCAACTCAGAGGATTCTTTCTGTGATTGGTGACTGCCTCGATAATTTTGGTCCTGGGTGTGCGAATGTACAGAAGATCCTCAATGCCCGCTGCCCTCTGGTGAAATTTTCCCATCAGCCAACAGGATTCCAGTGTGATCTGTCAGTGAGCAACAGGTGAGACCCGGTTTTAAAAAGTTTGCAGAGAATTCTGATGTACTTAAAGTGCTCTGAAAACTTGTAATATCAATTCTTTACTCCTCTCTTTTCTGTGTTCTTAACAAATGTGAATGTTGCTCTGGAAGTAAAAAGGATATTTTTTGACTTCTAGAGGTTAGAGTTTGATGTCCTTAAGTTGTCTTTGTCCAGTTTAGGAAATACTTGCTAGCTGAAGCTGAAGCCTCAAAAACCAGTTTATAGAAGAAGGTCGGCTTACAGAACAGGAAAGAAGGCAGTCAGTGTTCATTAGTCATTACTTCCTCTCGGTGTATGTGCAGCCTTTCTTGATTGCTTTTCAGATTAAGCAGCTCCGGAATGTTAATTTTTTAGGGATTTTGCTTTTAGTTATTTTTGTGCCCTTTCTTTCTTCTTAAGAGCCTGCATAGCCCTGTTTGCCGGGAAGATGCCCTGGATGCCGAGGGAATTCCCCGCGTCGGGAAGGGGAGGGGAGCCTGCGGTGTCCCCGCGGCGCGGGGCCGCTCGCAGCGCTGCCCGCTAGGGGGCGCCGGCTGCCCAGGAATGCCCCGCGGTGCCGGCCCGGCACAGGCA